CCCTCTTCTCCCACAAAGCAAGCTCTCCTCCCTCCCGTGCAGCACCCTGACCGAGCCTTGTTAGTTGCAGACAGACGGGCATTCACATGGAACCCCTCTCTGACACAGGAAAGCCCCGTGAAAGGGGCTGCTCTGTGGAAGTGATCCTGCGGAGAGCAGCCGCATGGAGAGGAAGGAAGGGGCAGGAAGGACGTAGATGAGGCCTAACTGTTTCCCTCCTACCTTATTTTGTTAGAGGGCCGAGAGAAGAAAGCCACTTTAGAGGATTACCTCTGAGAATCTCCTCCTTTTATATCATCAATATGTGAAAGTTTGCTGTAAGCTGCGTTGCTTTATCTCATTACTTCCTTATTATATATGTATGATACATTTCAGCTTCAGAAGCAGAATGAATCATTATTTGCATATCTTGAAATAACCTTTATAACTCAAAACTACTAAATCCTTAAAATATTTTGTTGCGTTTTTGCACACTAATTCAGAACTCCTGCCTGAAATTTTCCCTTCATTGTGTTCCCGACAGAATACAGGCCAAGACGCGGGAACTCCGTGAGAAGCAGGCAAAAGAGAGAGAGTACGCAGAGATCCAAGATGTCGTCAGCCGCACGTTCAGCTCAGACGAGGACCACACGTACGCCGGCATCGGATCGCTGTGCTCGTCAATAGACAGCAGCACCATAGACCCCTACAGCCACCCCTACCATCTCCCCCAGAGTCCTCTGAGCCCGCATCCTCCTTCCCTGAACCTTCAAGACAACGGTCCTCCCCTGGAGGCACTGTACGCCCAGGTCAACAAGCCTCGCAATGGACGCCCCACAGCTCCAGACAGGTAAAGGATGCCCCAAAAAGCAGTGCTTTTTTTTTTAAACTCCATACCTTTCTTGTTTATTCAAACGACACTAACTAGCATTGCGCCTTTGCATCAGTGTAGTTGCTTTACACCTCATCTATAATTTACACACAGTAATGTGATTGTATTTGTTCGCTTGTGCTTGTCGTGGGTGACTCGTACTTTGCAGAAAAACAATGGATTTCACACGAGGTTTCACTGCACGCTCCGTCCCACAAGACATTCCTCCCGTGCAAGCACCGAGGTGAAGGAACAACAGCAGATTATCAGTAATTCTCCATGTGTTACAATTCCACATCAAGCAGTTGCACTTTTTTTTCTTTCCATTACTCTTGGATCACAGGTAATACTCCATGACTTCTCACATCCCTTTCCAGACATGCACATTATACCGGCTTTCTAGACAAAGGAGGGAAGTCTGCTTTAATATAAATATTTGATGTGAAGACAATGCCATGTTTGATATTACTCTTTTAATAGGTGCCAAAAATCCAGTGTGAAGCCATCGTGTGTGTGTGTTTTAATTTGTTGCTGTGATTCAAAAGTAGAGTTCTTTTCTTTCTTTCTTTTCTGTTTATTTTTTAAATTTAAAGAAGAGAAGGCCGTGTGGGACAAAGCACGCAGTAAATCCCCCTGTGAAATTCATTGTAAATAAAAGTGGTTAAATATTGTTTGCCAGCTCAAAAAAATGCTAGTTTTTCAGCTCAGTTGTACTGTGTGTTTAGCAATCGAGAGTTCTCACCAGTCAGTGCGGTCACATTAGGAGCCTGCTATTCTCATGGTCTCCCGTAACCTTAGGGCGCTGGATAATTCCCACATCCTGTGATTGGCAGCTGTCACTTGGGGGCACGTGACCTTTCACTTCTAGGCACGTATGTGTTAACAGGGGACGTATGTGTTAACAGGGGATCCAACGTAATCACAAATCACTATGGCATATCATGGAAATGTAACTACACGTAGCCTTAACACATCCTGCAACTACTGTGAGTATGTTACATTCCTCCTGTGTGTTTCAGGCTACTTTTGCACTGCGTTTTTTTTTAATGGATCAATGGGATCAATTATTAGAGAGAATTGTCGTAGCTCACAAGTGGATAGTTTCAGAATAGATGTGAAGGAATGTACACAGAAGTAAAAAAAAAAACTGAAGAAAGTCTGACTGCAACAAAGGGTGGCAACTCAGGAGGGGGAAAAAAAACAGAAATCCCAGCATTTTATTTGTTCCTCTCGT